GCCGACACTACGCCTGACTCAATATCATCGACATAAGCGGCTCCCTCTTGCGAGGATTGATTAGGAGGGGGCAGCGGAGTGTTCTGGGCACATTTCCAGCTTTATGTTGAATTCGAAATTTCTCATTTCTATTTTTCCTACGGTAATTTCTTTCGATGACATTTTGTTCGGCGGAGATGAGTCGTGTTAACGGCACTCGAACTGGCGCTCTTGCAGAAGTGAACCACTACTGGTGCTCGAAGCAACATCGGTGCCTTCTCCTCAATGGTTTGGTGGGCATCCTCTAGTGATGGTAGCCTTGAGATTCATTTTGATTCTTGTGAATGAGAAGCCAGAACTATCAGTCACTCCTCAACAACACGTTGGTACCATTCGTTTCTTGAGACTTCAACAAGCACTTCATCTTCGTGCAAAAGAACGCTTCGAACCACACTTCGTGAAGCACTCTGTCCCACTTTCAATCTAATAACAACCCATTATTTTCATCGCCGGCATGTAATCCTGATACAAACCCTATCGGGAATACATAGGGTATACTGACGCGTAAGATCTACGCAAATGGGAAAGCGTATGACAATGTTCAGCCGCTAAGAAATACCATTACAAAGGAGTGGAAAACTCTACCGCCTCTGCTGCTTAGAATGCGCTGATTCAAAATCTGATTCCAGTCCAAGCTCACTGAGAAGAAGGCGCTGCACTCATACTTAGATGGGAGGAGCAGACTTTACGTCTTGTTTTTTGATCCACAATACATATCGTCCAATCTATTATGCACCGGCTCAAAAAGTGAAAAATTGTTGTCACAAACTTTGGAAAAGTTGTAACCTTTGTCTATTCCTAAACTGTAGCATAGGCAGAAGCAACAAATCCGGGTTCTCTCAAAAATAAAGTTTCTATGGGGTGCATGGTTCCTGGTATTAGTTCCTTCCAAGCAATAGCAAACTGAGATAGGAAAGTTTATCGATCGACCGAGATATGCCAATGTTTGGGAGTCTTATAGAGGCTTATAGCACAAAAAAATTCACGCTAGTGCAAATTTGGGCTACACCATAGCCCTTTAAACCTACTAATATTTATATTCTTCTGTTTATCCTATGCTTATCCTATGCTCAGGGCGGAAGTGGTGTAGTGGCAAGTGGCACGCTTACCACGCGAGCGGTCCGGGGATCAAATCCTGGGTCGTGAGTCGCCCGGGCCAACCAAGCCTTCCATCCCTCCGGGGTCGGTTAATTGGTACCAGACTTGTCTGGGAGGATAAAAAACTGACTTGTACATCGGCTGGCCCCCGCAAGTCATTGTATAGGCCACATCGCATTCAAACGCCACTACGAATGTACAAATGGAAGTAGAATGCGTGCCGCATCCCAAACGGGATTGATCAACGGCAAATGCTTTTTATCTTTTTATCCAATGCTATCTCAACCCTGCGGGCATGGGGTGCAATGTTCCTTGGAAAAACAAAGTATTACGACATGTCGCCTCTAGCTATTATTGCACTGTCCATCTTGGCATAAATGTATGTATCTGTGGGACCTGTTCTAGTTCTATTATATTTGATGTTATATGTGGGTTAAGGTGCTAAATTTAGTTGTCTTTCTCTCACTTAAGAAATCGTTTACTCTGAAAAGCTGTAAAGCTTTTCAACCAATGTTGTTTACTGTTTTCTTCAATCCTTTTTCCATTGTTGTGGGAGAATGGCGATCACGCCACATACAATTTTAGTTTTGCAGTGATCAGTTCACCCGTTCG